AATTACTTGTATTAGATGGTTATCACAGATCTCGTGTTGAATGTCTTGCAAGAATTTGATATCGTCCCTTCAATTTTTCAATAACATGCACTTCATGAACCAGCTATGTTATGTGGAATTTGACTAATGACTGATCGACTAATGATAGGATTGTTAAGACTAAGAGCAAAATGCAGCCTTGCTAGAGTAGGATTTCTAAACATCAACCTTCCGGTGATATACTGTTACAAGCTTTGTTTACATCCCATCTGTACAGGTCATAGATTATTCAGAAAAGCATCCATGCCATTAATCAATGAATCAATGTCTACCTTAGTTCTTCCCAACAGCAAGCCATAACATCCTCATCTTTGCTGCATACATGTTAGCTTATCCTGTGATTTAATAGTTAGTTTTGTTATCTAGCTTGAGCATGCCCCATCGGTGTTATCTGCCGGTCTGGCATCGCAAGGGCCTGCAACAGGTTGATTCACTCTCCCATATGGTGTTTGTGTTGGTGATAGATACACTAAACAAGTTGTTGGCCAAGGCTGAGCTTGGGTTGCTCCGCCTCCTAGTACCCCGGAATTTGGCTGTGAGTGTCTCACTTTAAGAAGAAGGGCTGTCATCTTCTACCACCCGGATAGAGCAGAGTTGCTCATTGTTCGCAGCATACTTGCGATCTTTGGGCATGTATCGGGGCTTCACACCAATTTCGGCAAGTGCTCGGTGTCCCATTTGGATGTTCGGACGAGGAGGCCCTGGAGGCAGCATCGGTCATGGAGTGTCAGCTAGCTCCCTTTCTGATCAGATAGCTCGGGACCCCTCTCGCGCTAAGCAGGTTGTCGAATGAGCTGCTCCAGCCCTTGGTTGCAGGCCACTCCGCTCAGGAGGCTTAGATATATCGGACTTCTCCCGTGATGAACGGGAGGTGTTCGCCGCATCCACCAACATAGTGGTTGGCGACGGAGCATCTACCTTATTATGGAGGATTGCTTGTTGGATGGGCGCACTATCTCAGAGTTTGCGCCTGAGCTCTTTCTCCTGATCTCAGGGCGCACTAGGAAAAAAAGGGCACAGTTAGGGAGGCCTTGACCGACCGTCATTGGATGTCAGCCATCCCTCTGGCAGTATATCCAGGTTAGGTGAATAGTCCACGGGGTGGTGCTTTCCACCTCACCAGATGTCCTCCAATGGTGGTGGACACCGAGCAGTCAGTACACATCCAGGACCTGGTATGACGCCCTCTTTCATGTGTCGGTCGGTTTGAGCTCTTGAAAGTTGAACTGGAAGTCTTCCCTCCCCCCGCGCTAATTCGTGTGGCTCGGCTGTCACGACCGCTGAGAGACTGTAGAGACGTGGCCTGCAGCATGCACCTAGCTGGCGTGCTCTGTGACCAGTCGGACGAGACGATGGGTCACCTCACGAGTTGCCCCTTCTGGCTCACGATGTGGCACGAGGTGTCCCTCGCTGCAGGCACTATTTTGTGGACTGGGGCAACTCACATGCCATTCCGTCCAGACTGCTGTTAGAGAGGGCACATCCTCAGTCGTCATGTTGGTAGCATGGTATTCAAATTTTCAGATAACGGATCCTTCTAATCCAGTCTATCTGGAAGCATCGTAACGCGATCATCTTCGACAACGCTAGGCTCAGTTTAGCTGGTCTCCTTGACACTATCAAGTCGGAAGCTAGGCAAGGGCGGGCGCGAGGGGTCTTGCAGCGTTGGTACCAGCAGGGCGGTGCCTAACGTTTAGCGGTATCGTGTTGTAGTTTTGGGTGTCTCTCATCTTTGGACTTGTACAAACTTTTCTTTCTATCAATACATCGAGACGCAAAGCTTTTGCATTTTCTCGGAAAAAAAAATAACATAACGGATTACATCACCCAAAAACAATTTGGTTTTTGTTGGCTAAATGAAGACATCTCTTTTTATTCAAACAATTTTGAAGACATATCTAGTTCAATAGTATTCTTAAACTTACTGCCTCCCATCTACAAACCTCATGCCCGCCAACTCCCATGTCCGCCGCAGTTACGCAAGTGCAATGTTGTCTGCTTGCTTGAATCTTTTCTTCACCGTTCAACTTCTTATCAAAATTTAGAGGTTACATTTTCTCTAATGCACATATGTTACACGTACCTGACGAATAGTGTGGGTTAATATACTTCAGATCTTTTTATTTCTGTAGTTAATTATAACTTCTGAAGTGCTGAAGAGACTGTTCCGGAGACGGTCCATGTCTCTTATTTGCTAGTGTATTGTATGCTTACATGCCATATTCACCGCGAAGGCACATATTTGTTTTCTTAAAAATAACTGACAATTAAGTTGGTTGGTGTATGTTACCTATCATGTGCAATTATCAATCTTTTCCTTTACTGGACATGCATTCTTTGCAATTTTGCAGAACTTCTGAAATGCCCCAGCATATTGTAGAGCACCCTCGTGCTCTTTTATGAACTGCCGGGTCCTTCTCGTTATTTACTAATAAAAAGATGGAAGCAACCAAGTTTATTTACCCTTTGTTCTGATGTTTGTTCCATTGATCATGTAGGAATGGACGTTATCACCAGCATTGCAACCATCCCTACCTACAAACCAGGTGAAAGGATCCAATTCTTCAATGATTTTGCACAGCTGATTGGCGATGAAAGAGCTCAATCTGCTAGAGCCATGTGGGATCGCCCACAGAAAACCGTGTATATCAGCGGTTGCGGGGAGCTCAAAGTGACCAAGCCATCCCTTTCCCCTCCTAGCTTGCCATGATAAGTACTGTATAGATGCAATTTTCCTGTAATTACTATTCCATGTAGCTGTATCTCTACCTATAATATGATATTCTGTATCTCATGTAAATGGCTGGTCAGTGCTGACATATCACCACTGACGGGAAGCCGAAGCGACCGGTTAGTGATGATGGGTCACCAGGGAGTGGACAAACGACTCGTCACTGGCTGGTCGGCTAGTGGCTCGTCAGTGTTTACTTACTAGAATAGCCCTCCCAGACTTGTCACTAACTGATCATGGCCGGCCCGTCAGTGATGAACGCTACCACTGACAGGTCTCCTCGAGCCGTCAGTGTTGAAGCGATTTGTAGCAGGGAGTCAAACAACATGGTGATCAAAGGCGACCCTATTTGTCACATTTGACAGAGCCTTGCAGATAGCAGCATCATCCACCATGAACAACATATCCCCACCACGAAGGAAAACATAAAACCAAGAAAAGGCTTGCCAAAGAGGGGAAGGGCAGCAGCTGGTATCCAGAAGATCAGAACAGCTTCAACATATGAACCCACTTTGAAAAACACATTTCTAAATTCTAAAAAAATCCGGAAAAAAATTGCACGGGTACGTCTCCATGTTCTATGTGCGTGCATAAAGTTTCACAGAAAAATAACTTTTTTTGTGGCCTGTGCAAAAAGACAAAAAATTATGTCGTGAAACACTATTTAGAAGCATTGAAATTTGTCTTTTTTGCGGAGGCAAAACAAAAAGACATTTTTCATAAAACTTTGTGCCGCGTACACACATTTGCGAACATGTATGCGTGATATTTTCTTTTGATTTTTTGACATTTTAAAACGCGCTTAAAATGCATTTTATGAAAAGTGGGTGCATATGCCCATGGGTTCAGATGGTGCCCTCTCAACCCCAAACCCCCTAACAACGAGGCAGGTAAAAAAAGAGATGTCTAGCAGTTTCAGTTTGTTCAAGGATCATAGAGTATTGCCAGTCCAATTCGGCTTATGCATATTCTCTCTAGTAAGCATCGGGTCTTGAGAGGCATTTTCGCACGCCAGATCCATCTATAATGAGATCCTGCAACATGTGTACATAGAAGGAGAAAAAGAACAAGAAAAAATGCTACTGATACTTGGACTTAGACAGTACTAGTGAACAGTGTCAGGTTCATCAGGAAAATTCCTGGAAGTAGAATGATAAAAAATCAATGACATTCAATTATTCCAATAGTCATCAGGAAAATTCCTGGAAGTCAAATGATCAGCAATCAATGCCATACCATTATTCCAGTAGTCACCAGGAAAATTCCCTTATTCCACTGGTCATCAGGAAAATTCATGGAAGCCAGATGATCAGCAATGCCATTCCATTGTTCCAATAGTCATCAGGAAAATTCCTGAATGTCAAATAAACAGTGCCATTCCACTGTTCCAGCAGTTCAGCTCCAAGGGCTTTTTTTTAGACAAGTTCAGCTTTAGGTGACGCCTGAAAGGGATGTTTGGGCTGCAATTCATGCAACCTCTAATGGTACATTTTTGTTTTTGACAAATGTCAAAGTGCACATGAATTTTTCAGAGGTATAGCCACAACCTCACCATGTCACCATTTTTCAAAGAAACTTTCCTAGCAGCAAAATCTACATCCATAAATTTAAGAAGGGATTTGAACTTATGTTTACATGTTTCCATAAGTTCTTGCCACAACTGCACAACTGCAGTATACATCCTTAAAAGATTACTGCCTTACTGTAATGCGAAACACTGACACTGCATTAAAGGGATACACCATTTCATAGCTTAACCAACAATGGTTCTATGCGACATTCCGAAACGTTTCATAATAAGCCAACTTAGTTGAAGTTTTCCCTCAACAAAAGTCAAGTATGATTACAACTCGGTACTCTGATAAGGAAACCTGATAAGAAGTTATAAACTGATCTCTACACCAGCTTCTTCCAATTATTGCTGAAGCACACTGATACTATGAACAAACCTCTCTCTTTGCACCTTCTCAAATTCTTCGAGAAGGTGCAAAATCAACAAGGAGAAAACCAGAGCAGCATATCATTTCAGAATGACACCTGCTTCATGAAAATCAAGACTTCTACACCATTTCTTCAGCAGCTAAGCAAAGCAAAACCAGATCAAATATCTATCATCAGCCATGGGAATCTAGCTATATATGCCGACCAGGCGGCTTCAGCAGTCGCTGTTTCTTTCTAGATTGTTACTCGCTTCGGTCATCTTACCAACATAACATCTATACTTTCCATTCTACTCTACTATAATCTCTGGTAGTTTCAACATGCTGTGGCTGCAGCAGCTGCGCGCCCTAGTCCTGCAACACCTGCGGATTATTCCGGTACGACCAACCGGCCAGCTTGGACAAACTTCTTTGCCTTTGCTTTCACATCCAGGGGCGGAGCCAGCGCCCAGCCACCCCGGCACTTGCCCGGGCTCGTTGGCTGTGAGACATTGTACATGCTTGATAAACAATAGGCAGATTTTACTGCTAGTCGTGCTTTACCTGGGCACCAGTGCATGCACAGATTGATTCAAAAAGGGTCCATGTATGCACGTATGCGATAAACAATGGGTTAGCTTTTTTTAATGGGCTAGTTAATTTTTCTACTAAGAGTCCGACTAATATTTAAGTAATGGGCTAATTCATCTAATGGGCTAACTCCAGCCAAGGAGCAAAGCCAAGGTTAGCACTATCTAACACCACCTAATACCTATTACTTAGACTCAAAACATCCTAACGCCTAGTAGTCTACGCTCATATCTCTCAAATCTGATCTTGTGCATACCAAAAATATTACTTAGATTTAATTCTGCTGGCCATAAGATATCTGATGCATAAGAGAAAAAGTCGCCAAACATGACAAAATTTATTTATTTGTTAAACATGATAATTTGATTTCTTGAAGTAAAATGTGAGGCGACTTGCTTCGAAAAGCATGATAATATACATCAAAAGAGAATTTACAGATAAGATATCTTCTGGTGAAATTATTACTATTTTATTTTATTGGCAATCATAGTGGCAAATTTAAGTTAACACAAACTTACTGATGTTTTTATAATAATGAAGCGGAATATTATGTAAGTTATTTTTTCACACTTGTAATTTTTTTTAAAAACTTGGCCTATATCAAGCATAATGTTCAACAGTTATGGGGTGCTAAGTTTGCTTCTTCCAGAATAATTACTTGAGAGGAACACGAGCAATCACAACCCTTGTCTGCACTTAGCTGTCCGTTTGTACGTATTGTGAGACAGATTGGCGACAAGCGGAGGCAGGCCTTGGTGCAGAGGAAGTGCTGGGCAGAGCGAATCCATTTTCAGGAACGGCTTACATCCTCGACAACTCGTCATCTCACCCCCTTTATGATGATCAGATAAGACTACTAACTGATTTGGCAATTGGTAGATTTAGGGCTTAAATTTTGAGGTCAGCCGATGGGGAATTGACCTCCGGTGATGATCACGGCCTCAAAAGTCTAGTCTTTGGTTTATGGATTTGTTTTAGATAGTTACATGTTAACTTCAATTTTGAAATTACTGAATTTCATAGATGGTAAAATTTGGTTAGTAGAGCAAGCACTCACACTTACCACAAGAATTTTCCCTTGTGATTTTCTTTAGCATATTATTGGTATGTTTTATCTGACCGTCTCTATTCTCTAAAGTTCTTTACTTTGAACACACTCACAAGTCACAACACGTACTTTATTTGCACTACAAATCCTTCTTTTTTATCTTGTAACGTTTTCTAGGACGTTTGGAAGCTAATTTGAATGACTATAATTTTCTAGCAACATGGTGTCAAAGCAATATTCAAATCCAAGCTCTACATCTGGCTCACACCCGGAAACCGATAGTAGAAGGGTGGATGGGACCCCGAGACCTATGGGATTTGGTCCTATGCATGGCCTCATTCTAAGACTTATGTTGTCTAAGTCTCAACTTTATTTTGTTCGATGAAGAACATTAATATGTTATATAATAATTTACTTAAAAATTACATTTGCACGACTACTATGTTTATATTTTGACTTCATATTCACTGGCGGAGCTATGTTGAGGCCGAGGGGGCCTATGCCCCCTCCCCCCTCTCACCCTCCTTGGACCAAACTCAGATGTTTGGAGTTATTTTATACTTAGGCTCAAGTTTGCCCAGGCTTCACAAAATTTCTAGCTTCGCCACTATTCACATCCCTTGCTGCTCTCCGTACTGTGACAGTTTCCCCTGCTGCAATGCGTCAGAGCCGGGACGTGATCCTTGACCTTCAGGTGATGTCCACACGCTTCCTCTTTGTGTTCTTTGATGCACTGGATTTCCTGCTCATGGTGATCAGGCAATGCGCTCTCGATAGATATCGACAGCTCTGGAACTGGATCAGCCGCACTGCCGTCATGCTTATGGTCGTGGCAGGAATGCGTATCTGCGACATGCACTGTTTGCTCTTCATCACAGCAATGATGCTCATGGTTCTGCTCATGGTCGTGGCAAGCATGCTCAGTGGCACAAAGCAAGCTGATTGGTTCTTCACAGTGCTTGTGATCATGGCAATCATGCTCATCGGCAGAATGTGAACTGTTGGGTTCTTGGTGGTGGCTATGTTCATGGTCATGGCAATCATGCTTGTTCGCAGTGGGGTGAGGGTTGCAGATGTTGTGGGTATGGCCATGCCCATGGGAAACATGCTTGCTTGTCACCATCTGGCTGCTCGGCTCTTTGCAGTGGCTATGGCCATGGCCATGATCATGGCAGCCATGCTTGTCTGTGGAATGCAGGTTGCTCGGCTCTTTATGGTGATCATGCTCATGGTGATGATCATGGCAGCCATGCTTGTCTGTGGAATGCAGGTTGCTAGGCTCTTTGTGGTGATCATGCTCATGGTGATGATCATGGCAAGAATGCTTGCCTGCAGATACATGCTCATGCTGATGACCATTGGAGCAGTGGTGGTGGGAAGTACTATGCTCATGCTTTTTTGAGTGAGAAGAAGCACAGCATTTCTTCGCCACCTTTCCACTGCCTTTCTCCCTCAGTAGCAGCATGCTGTACATGATCACCAACAAGCATGTGCCAACATCAGCAAGGACTGCTGCCCAAATAAGCGGATGCCCGGCAAACGCAAGTGCAACAATTGCAAGCTTCGTAGTCACCGAGAAGACAATGTTCACGACGATGGTCCGGTGTGTCCTCCTGGCCAGCTTGATAGCCTTTGGGATCCTGCGGATGTCATTCGACATCAGAGTAATGTGACTCGTCTCCATTGCGACGGCTGAACCGGACACACCCATGGAGACTCCAACATCAGCCTTAGCCAGTGCTGGGGCATCATTCATGCCGTCGCCAATCATCAGTGTAGGGCCATCTCTTGCCTTCAGTTCATCAAGAATTCTCACTTTGTCTTCTGGCAGAAGTTCAGCATGAACCTCGGCTAGTATGTTCCCCAGCTGCCACAAAAAGAAAAGAAACAGCAAAATCAGAAGGTGTTGCATTTGTATCCACTAGAGAAAGGAAAATACAAAACAATAAGATCCACCTATTCTCCAGAAGAAAAAGAAGAAATCATTACCTGGTTTTGCGCATGTGTGGCAGCGGCAGTACTATCGCCAGTAAGCATCACTGACTTTATGCCCAATGATCTCAACTCCTTGATGGCCTCGGCTGACCCAGTTCGGCATGAATCCGATAGGCTGAATACCCCAATCAATTCCTTGTTGCAGGCCACGTATCCGATGGTAACTCCTTTCATGTGTTCTACTATGTCTGGAACTATAGAACAAAAAAAGTTGCACATGATCAGTTAACAGCTCAAGATTTCAACAGAAAACTGTGTTTCGATTAAACAAAATAGAAGAATGAAGAAAAATATACTGTAAAAATGACTAACTTAATGCTACTGAGCAATGCTCATTTCAGTAACTTCATGCATGGGTAGGTTTGTCTCTTATTAAACAGTAAGTCCAATTGTAAATAGCAAAAGAATGTTGTCAACATTGAATATGTAAATGCTGAGTTCACATTTCACCAACCTGTTTGACACGATGCCCTTGCCAAGATCCTTTTGTTCCCAACATATACGCCCTCTCCATCAATTTCACCGTAAATCCCCTCGCCAGGATAGATTTGAAACTCAGCAACATTTTCTGATTTTGGCTCTACAGAGTTTGATTGAGCATAACCAACAAGAGCAGATGCCATTGGGTGGCTCGACCTGCTCTCGATGCTTGAAACCCTGCAACAGTCATGGAATTAAAATACTGCAAGAAGATCGAAGCACATAATGTCGTTGAAGAATTTTGAGCATTCTGATATGGATGCCACACTCACCAGTAAATAAGTTGTTGCTTCGAAACACGCTCACCAACTGTCTGAAACTCCTCGACAGAGAACTCGCCTCTAGTGATTGTACCAGTCTTGTCGAAGGCAGCAACTTTGATACTGGCCAAGGACTCAAGGACATCCCCTCCTTTGATGAGGAGCCCGGTCCTCGCGGCCCTCAGTAGCGCGCAGAAGGTTGCCACAGGTGTCGACAGCACCAGAGCACATGGACAAGCACTCACCAGGAGAACTAGGGCCAGTTCAAACCAGTGTCTTAGGTTGCGTGCTCTGACACACACAGGGATCACTGCCACTGCTGCAGACATGAAAATAACAGCTGCGAGGTGCAACCAAAGATCACAGTAAGTAAAACCATCCGATCCAACAACTGTCAATGACTGAATTTTCGCTACAGGCATAGTCTCTTCTATCTGGCTTACCGGGTGTGTAGTACTTGGCGCAAGTGTCGATCAGCCTCTGCGTACTGGATCGACTGTTTTGGGCTTCTTCGACCAGCCTTGCCATTTTGGCCACCGCAGAGTTGTCGGCCATAGCAGTTGTCCTCATAGCAATGTAACCTGACAGATCACCAATGTAGAATCAGTGCATGATCAGCGACCAGAGGTGAATTTTAGGCATCCCAGCAATGTCGATTCCAGTGACAGTGTAGTATGTATTACCATCTATGTTGAGTGTGCCAGCCCAGACCTGGGAGTCTGCCTGCTTGGACACAGGGAAGGACTCCCCGGTGAGGGTGCTCTCGTCGACCTCACTCCGTCCATCAACAACAACACCATCGATCGGCACGACTTCCCCTGCCTTCACAGCTATTACTGTATTGATCTTCACATCCTGGGTAGCAACCACTTGTCCAGTCTCTGCCAGAACAGCATTTTGTGGTGCCATGCTCATCAGTGACGACATGCCAGCAGTGGCCTGCATGTCAAAGAGTATGTAATCAGATTTTTCAGGGACAAAGTAGCACAAAAAGAAAAATTATTGCCCATGTAGACATATTTAATGATTACTGCTTCTTTTTTAGAAGACATTACTTTTAGTAGTTGCCTTCAGCTCCTCATCTTTCCAAAATTATTGGCGTGGCTTTCCCTAATCATGTCTTACACCTAGATATGAGTGTATATGCATGTCTGAGTCCACTAGATATAAAGTTCATTAGTCCCTTGGCTGATAAGTGACAGCTGAGGTATGCTAAAAAGGCAATACAATCAGCGAAACGGGCCTGGCTCTACTCCAACCTACTACGCGTAGAATGGCAGACCAAAATATGTTCACAAGTCCATCAGTGGGTCTAGTGCACATCAATATCAGCATACCCTGCCATGCCGCATCAGTACGAATATGTGCTCCTAACCATGCCACATCGGAAAAAAAAGCTCCCTTTCCCGGTAAGTGGGGTCATGAGAGGACCTCACAGCTCTGATCTCTTAGGTGAAAGGAATTTGTGGACAACATACCTTGCCGCAGGCCCTGGTCTCGAGCCATTCGGCTATGGTGAAGAGGAAGACGATGAACCCGGCCTCAGAATAGTCCTTGAGAGCTATGGCCCCAGCAACTGCAAACAAAGCAAGTAAAACAAGTGAGCCATTGGCTATTCAATTGCCACCATCCATTTCCTGCCAAAATTGCCACAATTTATGGGACGGCAGAGCACCAAAAAGGAATGGGTGTAAATATGTGACGATGACAAGATACCGTTCCTCCAAGACGAGTAGATTAAGCCAACAGGTATATAGTTTTTTACAGAAAGTGGTGATTATATATACACACAGACTAGTTCCCAGGGGCGGAGCCTCGTTGGCTGTGAGACATTGTACATGCTTGATAAACAATGGGCAGATTTTACTGCTAGTCGTGCTTTACCTGGGCACCAGTGCATGCACGGATTGATTCAAAAAGGGTCCATGTATGCACGTATGCGATAAACAATGGGTTAGCTTTTTTTAATGGGCTAGTTAATTTTTCTACTAAGAGTCCGACTAATATTTAAGTAATGGGCTAATTCATCTAATGGGCTAACTCCAGCCAAGGAGCAAAGCCAAGGTTAGCACTATCTAACACCACCTAATACCTATTACTTAGACTCAAAACATCCTAACGCCTAGTAGTCTACGCTCATATCTCTCAAATCTGATCTTGTGCATACCAAAAATATTACTTAGATTTAATTCTGCTGGCCATAAGATATCTGATGCATAAGAGAAAAAGTCGCCAAACATGACAAAATTTATTTATTTGTTAAACATGATAATTTGATTTCTTGAAGTAAAATGTGAGGCGACTTGCTTCGAAAAGCATGATAATATACATCAAAAGAGAATTTACAGATAAGATATCTTCTGGTGAAATTATTACTATTTTATTTTATTGGTAATCATAGTGGCAAATTTAAGTTAACACAAACTTAATGATGTTTTTATAATAATGAAGCGGAATATTATGTAAGTTATTTTTTCACACTTGTAATTTTTTTTTAAACTTGGCCTATATCAAGCATAATGTTCAACAGTTATGGGGTGCTAAGTTTGCTTCTTCCAGAATAATTACTTGAGAGGAACACGAGCAATCACAACCCTTGTCTGCACTTAGCTGTCCGTTTGTACGTATTGTGAGACAGATTGGCGACAAGCGGAGGCAGGCCTTGGTGCAGAGGAAGTGCTGGGCAGAGCGAATCCATTTTCAGGAACGGCTTACATCCTCGACAACTCGTCATCTCACCCCCTTTATGATGATCAGATAAGACTACTAACTGATTTGGCAATTGGTAGATTTAGGGCTTAAATTTTGAGGTCAGCCGATGGGGAATTGACCTCCGGTGATGATCACGGCCTCAAAAGTCTAGTCTTTGGTTTATGGATTTGTTTTAGATAGTTACATGTTAACTTCAATTTTGAAATTACTGAATTTCATAGATGGTAAAATTTGGTTAGTAGAGCAAGCACTCACACTTACCACAAGAATTTTCCCTTGTGATTTTCTTTAGCATATTATTGGTATGTTTTATCTGACCGTCTCTATTCTCTAAAGTTCTTTACTTTGAACACACTCACAAGTCACAACACGTACTTTATTTGCACTACAAATCCTTCTTTTTTATCTTGTAACGTTTTCTAGGACGTTTGGAAGCTAATTTGAATGACTATAATTTTCTAGCAACATGGTGTCAAAGCAATATTCAAATCCAAGCTCTACATCTGGCTCACACCCGGAAACCGATAGTAGAAGGGTGGATGGGACCCCGAGACCTATGGGATTTGGTCCTATGCATGGCCTCATTCTAAGACTTATGTTGTCTAAGTCTCAACTTTATTTTGTTCGATGAAACTGAACATTAATATGTTATATAATAATTTACTTAAAAATTACATTTGCACGACTACTATGTTTATATTTTGACTTCATATTCACTGGCGGAGCTATGTTGAGGCCGAGGGGGCCTATGCCCCCCCCCTCTCACCCTCCTTGGACCAAACTCAGATGTTTGGAGTTATTTTATACTTAGGCTCAAGTTTGCCTAGGCTTCACAAAATTTCTAGCTTCGCCACTGTTCACATCCCTTGCTGCTCTCCGTACTGTGACAGTTTCCCCTGCTGCAATCCGTCGGAGCCGGGACGTGATCCTTGACCTTCAGGTGATGTCCACACGCTTCCTCTTTGTGTTCTTTGATGCACTGGATTTCCTGCTCATGGTGATCAGGCAATGCGCTCTCGATAGATATCGACAGCTCTGGAACTGGATCAGCCGCACTGCCGTCATGCTTATGGTCGTGGCAGGAATGCGTATCTGCGACATGCACTGTTTGCTCTTCATCACAGCAATGATGCTCATGGTTCTGCTCATGGTCGTGGCAAGCATGCTCAGTGGCACAAAGCAAGCTGATTGGTTCTTCACAGTGCTTGTGATCATGGCAATCATGCTCATCGGCAGAATGCGAACTGTTGGGTTCTTGGTGGTGGCTATGTTCATGGTCATGATGGAAATCATGCTTGTTCGCAGTGGGGTGAGGGTTGCAGATGTTGTGGGTATGGCCATGCCCATGGGAAACATGCTTGCTTGTCACCATCTGGCTGCTCGGCTCTTTGCAGTGGCTATGGCCATGGCCATGATCATGGCAGCCATGCTTGTCTGTGGAATGCAGGTTGCTCGGCTCTTTATGGTGATCATGCTCATGGTGATGATCATGGCAGCCATGCTTGTCTGTGGAATGCAGGTTGCTAGGCTCTTTGTGGTGATCATGCTCATGGTGATGATCATGGCAAGAATGCTTGCCTGCAGATACATGCTCATGCTGATGACCATGGGAGCAGTGGTGGTGGGAAGTACTATGCTCATGCTTTTTTGAGTGAGAAGAAGCACAGCATTTCTTCGCCACCTTTCCACTGCCTTCCTCCCTCAGTAGCAGCATGCTGTACATGATCACCAACAAGCATGTGCCAACATCAGCAAGGACTGCTGCCCAAATAAGCGGATGCCCAGCAAACGCAAGTGCAACAATTGCAAGCTTCGTAGTCACCGAGAAGACAATGTTCACGACGATGGTCCGGTGTGTCCTCCTGGCCAGCTTGATAGCCTTTGGGATCCTGCGGATGTCATTCGACATCAGAGTAATGTGACTCGTCTCCATTGCGACGGTTGAACCGGACACACCCATGGAGAAGGGTGGATGGGACCCCGAGACCTATGGGATTTGGTCCTATGCATGGCCTCATTCTAAGACTTATGTTGTCTAAGTCTCAACTTTATTTTGTTCGATGAAACTGAACATTAATATGTTATGTAATAATTTACTTAAAAATTACATTTGCACGACTACTATGTTATATTTTGACTTCATATTCACTGGCGGAGCTATGTTGAGGCCGAGGGGGCCTATACCCCCCCCCCCCCTCTCACCCTCCTTGGACCAAACTCAGATGTTTGGAGTTATTTTATACTTAGGCTCAAGTTTGCTCAGGCTTCACAAAATTTCTAGCTTCGCCACTGCTAGTTCCCTAGATACAACTTTCCTTTTATATTACCACTGCAAATAGAAACTCTGACACCTACTCTCATAATTGAGTCTCCATCAAAAGATCCGAGATGCTGACACATTTTTATCTGCTATCTGAACAGAAATTTTGTTTTCTAGCATAGTATTATAGAATACATAAACGAATATAAATTCTGACCAAAGTTCCTATGCTGATCCTTTCAAGAATCTGAGCAATCTTGACAGCACAAAAACCACAACGCTAGAAAGACCGATTCGAGCAAAGCGTTGCTTGTTCTAAGTGGAATCCGATACCCTATCTGAGATGCGACATCGCCACATGGAGAGGAAAGGAAGCAGATTTCTGTCCATTTGGCATAAACCTTAGCATCACAGCAACCTATCGCTTTGATGCAGTTCAAAGTGGGGGGTCCCTACAGGAAGAACAAACACCAAGGGGGAAGTTTTAGCAAGTGAGACATAAGCTTTTGGTAGTATCTTTCCAGAGCCTGTTTTCCCACTAGCTAAGCACCCACCATTCATACTGGTGCAAGGAAGCAACCTGCCTTGATCCCAGTTTCCTGGGTGACTTTTGGCTTTTTTTTCAGCGATGTTTAACACCTAGCAACATCATCAGTACTTCCAATGATTCAGTCTGTGGTTTTTCGTTAATTAACTAGGCAAGTCTCTTCTGCTTAATTAATCGACGAGGTAAAGCTTTTGCCCCCGTTTATAAAAAAGGTATTTCCAAAGAGTGCTAGCGAGTGTTGAGCGTATACGAAGCAACAGAAGATGGCGACAGAAGATTTGTTTTAGAACAAGGCCCTGATTGGCGTGGAGGTGGACTTATAAAATTACTCATGTCTTCCTCTCTTTTGAATTTTTGATGTGGTAACTAGTTCAAAGCATTTTTTTATTCAGATGTATAAACAAAGTCTTACCAGAATTGGTAAGGATTCCTCTGCCAAACTAGCAGATTCCACACGAGTTAAACACATCACATTTGTA